AATAGGTTGAATTTACCTATTAAATGAAAAAAATCTTTAATGCTGGGTGTAAAAACTGACCTAGGTGTTATTCACCTAACTCAGCTAGATGTTGTGTACCTTTCAAACACATAAAACAAACTGAACACTTAACAAAAAGGATCCTATTCAGGAGCCACAAATATCATCAAAATATCTTAGAATACACTTAGCAAGGTAAGTGTAAGATGTGCATGGATTAAAGCTATAACACTTTAGTGAATGTACTCATTTTCTACTGCTTCAGTAACAAATTGCCACAAACAGTGTCTTGTTGTTGCTGTTCAGTCACTCAGTCGTGCCCTACTCTTTGCGACCCCATGGACTGCAGCACGCCAGGCTTCCCTGTCCTTCACCATCTCCTGGAGCTTGCTCAAACTCATTCCATTGAGTCAGCAATGCCATCCCACCGTCTCATCTTCTATTGTCCTCTTTTCCTCCTGCCTTCATTCTTTCCCAGCAACAGGGTATTTTCTAATGAGTTGGTTCTTTGCAACAGGTGGCCAAAGTATTGGAGCTTCAGCAACAGTCCTTCCAATGAATATTCAGACTGATTTCCTTTAGGATGGACTGGTTTGATCTTCTTGCAGAACAAGGGACTCTTGTCAAGAGTCTTCTCCAACATCACAGTTCAAAAGCATCAATTCTTCAGTGCTCAGACTTCATTATGGTCCAACTCTCACATCCATACATGACCACTGGAAAAAACATAGCTTTGACTATATAGACCTTTGTTGGCAAAGTAATGTCTGCTTTTTAATATTCTGCTTAGGCAATCACAGTTTTTCTTCCAAGGACCAAGCGTCTCTTAATTTCATGGCTGCAGTCACCATCTGCAATGATTTTTGGAGTCCAAGAAAATAAAGTCTTAATAGTGTCTTAACCACCCCCAGTTTATTAACAGTTCTGTGAGATGGGTCGCTGGTCTAAAGTCAAGGTGTTAGCAGGGCTGCCAGTGCATTCTTTCAGGAGACCTAGGGGCAAATCCCCAACATCTTGCTCAGTCAGGTATTGGAGGAATTCAGTTCTGAGGCTGTAGGACTAAGAGCTCTATTTCCTTGGTGCTGTCAGCAGGGAGCCATCCTTAGTTCCCATAGATCTGAGTCCTTGCAGATATTCCAAACATTTCAGAAGCAGCAATGAAGGGTGGAGTTTTTCTCTTGCTTTGAATCTCTCCTCTGATTAGATTGGGCTACCCTATATAATCCAGGATGTGATTTTGCATCTTCCCTCCAAAAAGAGTGGCCTTTGTAAAAATTTCACCTTTGACTTGCAAAGCAGCTAATAGAACTATTAATACTTCTCCTTACAGAAGTGGTAAATTCACTGGATGAAAACTTATTTTAAGGCATCTGTTATGTTTATTAACAATGTGTGTGTGTGTGTGTGTGTGACTCAGTCGTGTCCGACTCTGTGACCCAATGAACTGTAGACCACCAGGCTTCCCTGTCCATGGAATTCTCCAGGCAAGAATACTGGAATGGATTGCCATTCCCTTCTCCAGAGGATCTCCCTGACCCAGGGACTGAACCCTGGTCTCCTGCATTGCAGGCAGCTTCTTTACCACTTGAGCTACAGGGAAGTCCTTATTAATAACAATTAGTACGTCGTAAATGGTCATCTGAGTTAAATTCACCCATTCCAGTTCATTTTAGTTCGCTGATTCCTAAAATGTCAACGTTCACTCTTGCTATCTCCTGTTTCATCACTTCCAATTTGCCTTGATTCATGGACCCAACATTCCAGGTTCCTATGTAATACTGCTCTTTTCAGCATCAGACCTTGCTTCCATCACCAGTCATATTGACAAATGGGTGTCGTTTTTGCTTTGGCTCTGTCTCTTCATTCTTTCTGGAGTTATTTCTCCACTGATCTCCAGTAGCATATTGGGCACCTACCAACCCGGGGAGTTCATCTTTCAGTGTCCTATCTTTTTGCCTTTTCATACTGTTCATGGGGTTCTCAAGGCAAGGTCCACTCCCTTCTCCAGTGGACCACACTTTGTCAGACCTCTCCACCATGACCCATCCGTCTTGGGTGGCCCTACATGGCATGGCTCATAGTTTCACTGAGCTAGACAAGGCTGTGGTCCATGTGATTAGATTGGTTAGTTTTCTGTGATTGTGGTTTTCAGTCTGTCTGCCCTCTGATGGAGAAGGATAAGAGGCTTATGGAAGCTTCCTGACGGGAGAGACTGACTGAGGGGGAAACTGGGTCTTGTTCTGATGGGCGGGGCTGTGCTCAGTAAATCTTTAATCCAATTTTCCACTGATGAGTAGAGCTGTGTTCCCTCTCTATTTATCTGGGGCCAAACTATGGTGGAGGTAATGAAGATAATGGTGACCTCCTTCAAAACATCCCGTGTATATACTGCTACACTCAGTGCCCCCCAACCCTGCAGGAGGCCATCGCCGACCCACGCCTCCACTGGAGAATCCTGGACACTCACAGGCAAGTCTGGGTCAGTCTGTTGCACTCAATATGCCAACAAATTTGGAAAACTCAGCAGTGGCCACAGGACTGGAAAAGGTCAGTTTTCATTCCATCCCAAAGAAAGCCAATGCCAAAGAATGCTCAAACTACCACACAATTGCACTCATCTCATGTGCTAGTAAAGTAATGCTCAACATTCTCCAAGCCAGGTTTCAACAATACATGAACTGTGAACTTCCAGATGTTCAAGCTGGTTTTCGAAAAGGCAGAGGAACCAGAGCTCAAATTGCCAACATCCGTTGGATCATCGAAAAAGCAAGAGAGTTCCAGAAAAACATCTATTTCTGCTTTATTGGCTATGCTAAAGCCTTTGACTGTGGATCACAATAAACTGTGGAAAATTCTTAAAGAGATGGGAATACCAGACCACCTAACCTGCCTCTTGAGAAATCTGTATGCAGGTCAGGAAGCGACAGTTAGAACTGGACATGGAACAACAGACTGGTTTCAAATCAGGAAACGAATATGTCAAGGCTGTATATTGTCACCATATTTAATTAACTTATATGCAGAGTACATCATGAGAAATTCTGGACTGGATGAAGCTCAAGCTGGAATCAAGATTGCCAGGAGAAATATCAATAACCTCAAATATGCAGATGACACCACCCTTATGGCAGAAAGTGAAGAAGAACTAAAGAGCCTCTTGATGAAAGTGAAAGAGGAGAGTGAAAACGTTCGCTTAAAGCTCAACATTCAGATAACTAAGATCGTGGCATCCGGTCCCATCACTTCATGGCAAACAGATGGGGAAACAGTGGCTGACTTTATTTTTGGGGGCTCCAAAATCACCGCAGATGGTGACTGCAGCCATGAAATGAAAAGACACTTACTCCTTGAAAGGAAAGCTATGACTAACCTATACAGCATAGTAAAAAGCAGAGACATTCCTTTGCCAACAAAGGTCCGTCTCATCAAAGCTATGGTTTTTCTAGTAGTCATGTATATATGTGAGAGTTGGACTATAAAGAAAGCGGAGAGCCAAAGAATTGATGCTTTTGAACTGCGGTGTTGGAGAAGACTCTTGAGAGTCCCTTGGACTGCAAGGAGACCCAACCAGTCCACCCTAAAGGAGATCAGTCCTGAATATGCTGAAGCTGAAGCTCCAATATTTTGGCCCCCTGATGCAAAGAGTTGACTTACTGGAAAAGACCCTGATACTGGGAAAGATTGAAGGTGGGTGGAGAAGGGGACGACAGAAGATGAGATGGCTGGATGGCATCCTGATTCAATGGAAATGAGTTTGAGTGGACTTCAGGAGCTGGTGATGGACAGGGACGCCCGGTGTGCTGCAATCCATGGGGTTGCAAGTCAGACACGACTGAGCGACTGAACTGAACTGATGTCTAACATGTATCCTACTTATACATCCTTGGAAATAAAAGTCATCAGTGTTTAATCCGTAGCACCAAAATAATAATTGGAATAATCTCAGCCGTCATTCTGAACCTTCAGTAAATTAAAGGTCAGCTATGAGATTCATGGGGTCGTAAAGAGTCGGACACGACTGAGCAACAGAACTGAACTAAACTGATGAGTGTCTCTGCAGTCTGTCTTTACCTTTCTTACTTTTTCTAGCCAAGACACATTTTCTAATATAAAGCACGCAATGACACGCTTTCTGTGACGTCTCAAGAGCGCGGCCCACCTTCCGGACACCGGTCGGGAGGAAGCGGCCAATAAGGGTGTAAGGGTGCCGGGAGGCACACCCCGAGCCTGCAGCTTTCCAGAAGAGGAGACCACGCCCCAGTCAACATTGGCCGGGCATAAAGCCCCAGCAACTAGTGTAACCCGCGCGTTGCTGCCTCATTTTCCCCCACTTACAGCCGAAAACGCAAACAGCCAGAGATTGATACCCGGATGGAGCGAATGCGTGTCGGCGCCCGCCTTCCTTGCTTGGGCGCGCATGTGCATCCCAGAGGCCAATGGGCGAGGCGGAGGGTGGGGCTGGACGGGCAGAGAGAAGAGCGGCAGTTGGACGAGAAGAGCCACGCCCACCACGCAACGTTTCTGCGCACGCGCAGAGCGCCAGCTCCTGGTATTTTAGACGCGTCTGCTGTAGCCCTGTTCAAATTGTGTCAGCACGTCGGGCGTGGAGTCTGTGAGTCTTCGTTTGGGGAAGAATAGTGAAAACCTCTTCGTCCTTAGCTTCTGCAGGAAGGCGTGCGTTGGGCCTTTCTCTCATTGAGTGAAGCGTCGACGGCCTGTGGTGGGTCTTCTGGTGACGGGTGCCCCCGCGAGTACCTCAAGACGTGTGTATAGCCGGGCCTCTTTGAGCCCCGCGGGTGGGGGAGGAAGGTGGCAGAGCGGGAAGACCGACCGCAGGCGGCGCCAATGCTTGGAAGCCAGGATGCTAGTTTTCTTCTCGACTCGGCGCCGCTTTCGGGACTCACTTCCGGAACTTAACTTTTGTTTTTTTTTTCTCGTTTGTTTTTAGGAACTGAGTTTTTGGGAAGGGATATTCGTAGAAAGGTTAGCTGCCGGCCGAGATGTCCAGCTACGTGAACGACCTGTGGCCGAGTTCGCCGCCCAAGGCTTCGCCCTCGTCCTTGAGGTCGGGCCCGTGCAGCCGACCATCGTCGGCCTCCGGGAGCCGCTCTCCGTCCCGTTCCAGCGTCTCGAGCCGGTCGTGGTCCCGGAGCCGCAGCCCGCCCGGGCGGAGGAGCCGCTCCAGGTCTCGCTCCCGAAGGCGCCATCAGAGGAGGTACCGGCGCTACTCGCGCTCATACTCGCGGAGCCACTCGCGTTCCCGCAGCCGCCGGTACCGGGAGAGGCACTCAGGCTCCACCCGGAGGTCCTACCGGTCTCGCAGCCGCTCCCGCGGTCGCTTGTATTACCGGAGGGCCTACGCCATCGCGCGAGGCCGCCGCTACTTCGGCTTCGGCCGCACCGTCTACCCCGAGGAGCGCAGAAGCTGGAGGGGGCGATCCCGGAGCAGGTCGCGGAGCCCAACGCCCTTTCGTTTGAGCGAGAAAGGTGAGTCGTTGGAGAGGCCTTCGGGGAAAGAGGAAGGACCCCAGCGGGTTAATAGTTAAAACTCCGGTATGGTTGGCCCCCAGTTTTAAAATGGACAACTTTTTTTCCGCCCTAGGGCTTAACACCGTGCGTGTTAAATGGGTCGGTGGAGGGCAGTTCTGGGTGGACCAGCTCTCAAAATGCTACTGATTTATTGACCAAGCTTTGATTATTGAGGGATGGTTACTTTGCTAAACAAAAGAGGTGGAATTCTCTTTCCATAAATAGAAGTGTATTTTATTCGTGGAGATACTGTTTAAATATCTTTATATTACTAGTGTAAAAACACTGTGATTTTGAGTTTTTTTGGAGAAATGCTATCGGATAAATGAACATTTTGTGTTTCCTTTTGTAGATCGAATGGAGTTGTTAGAAATAGCCAAAGCCAATGCAGCAAAAGCATTAGGAACAGCCAACTTTGATTTGCCAGCTAGTCTCAGAAGTGTTCCTGTATCTAAAGAAAGAAACCAGGAAACAGCTGTACTGAATAATGGTGCAAAGTCTGAGGTAAGTATTTTAAGTTTATTTTAAAAATAGTAATCTTCAAACTTCATCTTTAAACTTAGTATTAAAATAAATAAGATCTTCAGAAGACTACTTAACCAGAAAGAGCTGATTATCCATTTTTATTTTATTTACCCTAGACTGTTTCTTGGAATGGCTAGCTAGATATAATTAAAAATAACAGACATGACAATATTAGATAGGGTCTTTCCCATGAAAGTGGGAGACTAATGACCTTTATTTTCAGTTGACATAATCCTAATTACTTCCATAATTGTAGCTGGTACTTTGGTGATTTCTGTGTAGTTACCAAGTTTTTCTAGCTAGTTTTTTACAGAGTATCTGTAATTTTCATTTGCAGGGTTATATTCCCACAGATTCTGTACTCAACATACAGTATAGTTTATCTGCTTTATTTCTGTCTTATAGAAATCATGAATGTGGTCTCCAGACATTGATGAAGAAAGTCTGTTGGTAATTGATACATGCGCAAAAGCATCAGAGGTTAAACTAATTTGAAGTCTATGTGGACATACCAGAAGCTTAGTTTTTTGTTGGTAGATTCCAATGCATGCTAGAATTTGGGACAAGCACTATTTGGATAAGATACTAAAGACAATTTGTAAATGAAAGTGTACTTTGTAATGCTGGGGCGTCTGATATAGATGTCCCTTTCATAATATATGCAATATATTCCAGATATTTTGAGAGATTACAGAAGAAGAGGCCTGCTTCATTTGCAGATAAGTTTATTATAATTCTCCAGAAATGTGCAGCATAAAATGCATAGCTTTAAAGGTTTAAGACAATTAAGGATTGATACATTCAGTTAACATAGGAACGATGGGTTATCTCCTATCATGCAGACCCAGATGTGGGTTTGCCTAAGCATTAGTGGTGAACAAAGAAGAGTTGAGTTGATTTTTCAGATGATTAGGTACCCAACTGGATGGGCAAATGCCTTAGTTCTTTTGAAGCTAGGTATTTTTTGGTATGATTTTTCACAGTTACTTGAATTTATATCAGAGGGATACATACAATACTGCTTTATGGAGAATAGTGTCTTAAATCATTGAATCAATTTTGTTATGGGAAAAACTTAACAAAAGTACTATGTTATTTTAGTTTGACTGGTTAGATCAAACTTGATTTGTGTCTCTACAAGTAAATTTATAATACAGTTAGACTGCTTTTTATACCTACAAGGGTATGACTTCTAAAATTTACTGTCTTTTATCTGTCTAGCTATCGGACAAGTTAACAGAAGATGGAACAAAAAATGCGAGTGAAAAGTCTTATCAGCAAAAAAGCATCGCTTTTAGCTCTAACGTAAGTATATCTAAGCATTGATCACTCAAAAGCTAGACTTGGAATGTATTTCTGTTAGGGGGGTTTATTTTTGTTAGCTTACTTGTGATGATATGAGGCCTACTAAGCCACTAAATAGAATTTTTAATACTTTTTTTGTGTGGTCCTCACAAGTGACCAATAGGTTCCTACTCTAATATGCACATTCTCAGTTTCAGTGTTTTACCCTTTTAACTGTTCCCTTTGTCCTTTTTGATTGTTGAAATATTTTAAAATAAAATCTCAGAATATCCTATGATTAGAATAATCAGCTAAAGGCTTAATAAAATTTCAAAACTATCTTAATATCTCCCTATTGCAGTATGCCTTGCACGTATCTAATTTCCCCCACTAGTGTCTTGGCTTTACAGTTTGATGGAATCAAGTTGCAAGTGAGGTCCATGGCTTTGCACTTGGTTGGTGTCTTTTATTTAATGTATTTTTTAAAATGATATTTTAAATACATAATGTATGTGTTTGGGAAGCTGACTTAAGAATTTGTTCTTTTTCAGAATTCTGTAGCAAAGCCTATGCTTCAGAAATCAGTTAAAGCTACTGCTGAAGAGAATTCTTCAGGATCCCCAAAAATAGATAAGAAGAAAAGTCCATATGGACTGTGGATACCTGTCTAAAAAAAGCCAATAGCTAAGGTTGCCTGAAATGCACTTTTTTTGCAAGTTTGTGTTTCTAGCATTATTCCATTCTTGTGAACCATTTAGTGGTGGTGGAGAAATTACAAATGACAACACAAAAATATGTAAATACTTAATTTAAATAATGTTTTAGATTTCTCTTGCAGATGGGAGATAGCACAAATGGACCACAGGTTACACACAGGTGGGATTCTTGTATATTTACACTTGGTAAATGTTTTATATAATATGGATCTGTTATGTAGAAGTGAAATTTTTAAAAGCAAACAGTAATTGAACTGTACATGTTGTAAATATTTTGTTAATAAATTTTTAAAAATTATTTTAGTCTCTCTTGATTGTGTATATTTTACATAACGTATTTTTATTTAATGAACAAGAATGGGGCAGTATCTCCTTTAAAACCTTCCTGCTTCCAGATCCAGATCCATGCATTGATACCGTAGGGCTCAGTGACCTTACCTGGGAGTTTGTGAGAAATGATGAACGTCAAGTCTCTACCCCAAATCTGAATTAGAAACTGAATCACAGCCGTGTTCTCCATTGATGAAGATACTCATTAAAATCTGAGAAGTTTGGCCTTGAAGACAGTATTAGCATAGTGTTGTCCTGAACTGAGCCATCAGGGCAGGAAACTCAGAGTGAAGTGGAATGGCTCAATGAGCTAGAAAATCAGAGGCTTTAGTTGTATTTATTTTTTTCCATCATGTTTTAATAAATATTCATTGATTTGAAATTCTTGAATGCTTCTTACTATAACTGAGAAGGAACTTAATTTAACTAAGCATGTAAAAATTTTAAAATGAGTGTTACACTAAAGATCTGGACAGTTGGTTTAAACATTACCTACAGACTTGTGGAGAAGGCGATGGCACCCCACTCCAGTACTCTTGCCTGGAAAATCCTATGGACGGAGGAGCCTGGTAGGCTGCAGTCCATGGGGTCGCTAAGAGTCGGACACGACTGAAGCAACAGCAGCAGTAGCACAGACTTTTGTAATTTTGCCTGTTAATATAGTAGTGGATACCAGAACTAGAAAGATTTAAGTCATTTTTAGATGGTCTCTCCAAGCATTTGACTAATTGCATAAAATGTTTGAATATAAATGTAAGATGTCAGCTTAAAAAGATAGTGAAGATCAAGTGGGATGTAATACTGTATTAACTAAAGCTGTGCTATCCTATATTTCACATGCACATCCCATTAAGAGAGCCACTAGCCCCATGTGTGCTTTTGACTGCTTTTGAAGTTGGCTAGAATGACTGAGGAACTGAATTTTTTCCTTTATGTATATTTTATTGAAATACAATTGAGTTAATGTTTCAGGTACACAGCAAGTTGATTCAGTTGTACATATACACATATATTATTTTTGGAGTTAATTTTCCATTGTAGGTTGTTATGTTGACTATAGTTTCCTGTACTATACAGTGAGCCTAAAATTCCAGGATAATTCTGATATGCACCTGGATTTTAAAAAGGGATTGCAGGTTTTTCTATTAAATGGAGTTTTGGTGATACAATGTATTAGAGAATAATAGTTACATAATCACCATAATAAAAGGTGTTTATTAGTTTCACAATAGCCAGACAAAAAGTAAAAGATAATTAGAATTGTAAGCCATAGTGGTAACCTGATTAACAATATAAAATAATTACATACAGTTTGAGGGAGTCAAAGTGGTGAGATAAATGAAAGTACATACATGTGTTTTCATTCAGCCAGCCAGTCTTGTTGGTTGATGTGTTTAGTCCATTTACATTTAAGGTAATTATTGATACATATGATCCAATGACCAATATGTTAATTGTTTTGGGTTTATTTTCTGTAAGTCTTGTTTTGTTTTGTTTTGTTTTGTTTGCTGCCTAGAGAAGTTCCTTTAGCATTTGTTATAAAGCTGGTTTGGTGGTTCTGAATTCTCTTAACGTTTGCTTGCCTGGAAAGCTCCGTCAAATCTGAAAGAGTCTTGCCAGGTAGAAGTATTCTTGGTTGTAGGTTCTACCCTTTCATTACTTGATAAATACATCTTGCCATTCCCTTTTGGCTTGTAGAGTGTCTGTTGAGAAATCAGCTGATAACCTGATGGGAGTTCCGTTGTATGTTATTTGTTGTTTTCCCTTGTTTTTAATATTTTATCTCTGTCATTAAGTTTTGTCCATTTGATTACCATGTCTTGGTGTTGGTGTGCTCCTCCTCAGGTTTATCCTGCCTGGGACTCTGTGCTTCCTGGACTTGGTTGACTATTCCCTTTCCCTTGTTTGGGAAGTTTTCAGTTACTATATTTTCTCAGGTACTTTCTCTCCTTCAGGGACCCCAGTGATGCAAATGTTGGTGCATTTAATGTGCCAGAGGTCTCTTAGGCTGTCTTCATTCTTTTTCATTCTTTTTTTTCTGTATTCTGTTGTGTGTCAGGGATTTTCACCATTCTGTCCTCCAGGTCATTTATCCATTCTTCTGCCTCAGTTATTCTGCTATTGATTCCTTCTAGCATATTATTCATCTGTTTGTTCTTTAATTCTTTTTGGTCCTTGGTAAATGATTTTTGCATCTTCATTGTTTTCTCGAGATCCTGGGTCATCTTCAGTATCATTATTCTTAATTTTTTTTTTTTTGGAAGGTTGCCTGTCCACTTTAGTGGTTTTTCTAGGGTTTTATCTTGTCTCTTCCTCTGGGATATAACTTTGTGCTTTTTCATGCTGACTAGCTTTCAATAATGTGGCTTTGTTCTAGTTCTTGTGAAACTGTGGTTCTTGCTTCTGTCTGCCCGCTGGAGGAGGCTAAGAGGCTTGAGCAAGCTACCTGATGAGAGGGACTGGCATGGGAAAAATGGTCTTATTGTGGTGGGCAGGGCCTTCTTGTTCAGGAAAGCTTTAATACAGTTATTGGCTGATGGTGGGGTTGGACTTGCTCCCTGTTAGGGCTCTTTGGATGAATGGTGACCTCCAAGAGGCCTTATGCCAAGGGGTAACTTCCTGGACTGCAGCTGCCAGTGCCCTGTTCCTGTGGTGAGCCCCTGCTGACTCACATCTCCCCAGGACACCCTCCCAACACTTGAAAGGTAGTTTTGGCTCACCTTTTGGGTGACTGCTCCTTTTCTCTGGGTCTTGGTGCATGCAACATTTTGTTTGTGTCCTCCCAGATTGCAGTCTGTTTCCCCCAGTCCTGTGGAAATCCTATAATCAAATCCCACTGGCCTTCAAGGCCAGATTTCCTGGGGATTCTCAGTCCTTTTGTTGGACCCCCAGCCTGGAAAGTCTGAGGTGTGGTCCAGAACCTTCACAACAGTGGGAGAACTAATTCAGTGTTACTGTTCTCCAGTTTGTGGGTCACCACCTGGCGGGTATGGAATTTTACTGTGATTGCGCCCCTCCTACCGTCTCGCTGTGGCTTCTTTGTTTTTGATGTGGGGTGTCTTTCTGGTGGGTTCCAGCATCCTCCTGTCACTGGTTGGTCAACAACTAGTTGTCATTTTGATGCTCTTGCCGAAGGAGATGCACGTACATCCTGGTCTGCCATCTTGAGCCGGAAGCCTAGAACTGAATTTTAAGTAACCATTTGCTGGAAAGTGCAGATAATAAATCCTTTTGTGTAGAATATTGTAAAAAGAGTTGCTCTTAAATTTGACCCTATTAAAAATGTAAATGTGCAAAGACTTGAGTATGTATGTCCCTGGAAGACAAATTTGTTACTGTCTTTACCTTGGTCACTTTCTCATCCTTTAAGCTAGCAGCAGTTGATATGAACAAGGAATTTCCTGGGAGAAAGGGTTTTTTTGGGTAAAATAAAATGTTTTTTTCCCACTTAGTTTAACAGTGGTTATTGGGAGGGTAATTTGCTTCTAATCCATGAGAGTTTAAATAGTAGGTTCATTTTTATTCTAAGGAGACCTGAGAATATTGATGGACTGGCCTAGTTACATCAGAGTGCAAGAAAACAGGATTGGTTTTAGGGTTTGTAATTTTTTGAAAATGTAGATAACATGAACATCCTGTTAGTATAATTTGTTGGTATATCCTTAGCAAGGTTACAGAACTCTTCAAGGTATTCTTTGTAAGGGAGACTGGCAATGAACTGATGACAAAATGCTAAGATAATTTTCACCTTCACTTAGCTGGTGACAGGAAAGCACCTGCTTTGTGATTTGTGTTCAAATACAGCCTTTAATAGCTAAGTATACAAGTCATGTAACCTCTTTAACCAATCCTCCTATATAACAGATTAGCCAAATCTGTTGATGTGGACATGTGCCACTTCTGAGTTTCCCTTCTGCAGTGATCTTGCCTTTCAGCCTTGTTCAGTCGCTTATTCATGTCTGACTTTTTGTGACCCCCATGGGCTGCAGCATGCCAGGCTTCCCTGTCCTTCACCATCTCCCAGAACTTGCTCAAACTCATGTTCATTGAGTCGGTGATATCATCCAACTATCTCGTCCTCTGTTGTCCCCTTCTACCTTCAATCTTTCCCAGCATCAGGGTCTTTTCCAGTCAGTTGTTCACATCAGGTGGCCACTATCGGAGATTCAGCTTCGGCATCAGTGCTTCCAATGAATATTCAGAATTGATTTCCTTTAGGATGGACTGGTTGGATCTCCTTGCAGTCCAAGGGACTCTCAAGAATCCTCTCCAACAGCGCAGTTCAAAAACATCAATTCTTCGGTGCTGAGCCTTTACAGTCCAACTCTCACATCCATACATGACCACTGGAAAAGCCATAGCTTTGACTGGACGGACCTTTGTTGGCAAAGGAATGGCTCTGCTTTTTAATATGCTGTCTAGGTTGGTCACAACTTTTCTTCCAAGGAGCAAATGTCTTAATTTCATGGCTGCAGTCACCATCTGCAGTGATTTTGAAGCCCAAGAAAAAGTCTTGTCACTATTTCCTTTGTTTAGCCATCTGTTTGCCATGAAGTGATGGGACGGGATGCCATGATCTTGTGCTGTGCTCAGCTGCTTCAGTCATGTCCTACTTTTGCGACCTA